CACGGATCTCAGGAGAGGACTTTCCACAGCTTCTACGCCCTGCTGGCGGGGGCGTCTGACCAGTTGTTGGAACAGCTTTATCTGGACAGGAGTTATGTCTACACGTGTGTTTGTGAGTGTGCGTGTGCGTGTGTGTGTGTGTGAGAGAGAGAGGGGGAGGGGAGAAAGAAGTATAATATGTGTACACTGGGAGATCCTGCCTGTGGTTGAGAATATTGCAGTCAAAAGAGGCAGGGGTAGGCCCAGAACAACCTACTTAGGGAACCTAAACAAATGGATAACGGGGAAAGGTCAGGGAAACGTAGCTTTTTTAAGAGCACCCGAGCAAAGGAATGAATGGAGAACCATGATCGCCGATGTCTGTCGCAGATTTGGCACTAGATGATGATGGTGATGATGATGATGATGATGATGATGATGATGATGATGATGTTTCCTTTCGCAGTTTTCCGCTTCCTAGTTTTATCGCCTCTTGTAGAGGAAATTCAATTGATTTATGTTCTATGCTTGTTCATTCACACTTGTTTTTCATGTGTTCTCAGGTACCTATGTCAAACGTGATTACGTATCGTTGACGAAATAAATACAGGCAAAGTTCGGAACAAAAACTGTTGAAGTTATTTATACGTCATCATTATGACTGGCATGCACTTAACATAACCCCCCCCCCCTCCTCCGGGGCGGTACCACTGACTGACGTGTCTTTAGGCCATTCCCAAAGGGGGGACATTTCTCGTTCAAGCATAGTAGAATTGTAAATGGGCTGACTCATGTCACGCTCATAACTGTGCCTGAACTACAACAGGGAACTGCTGCTTTTTCTTTCCTAATCCTTACTATTGTCATTTTCCTCTACTTCTTTTGAATGTTTGTCACACTCTTGTGACCCACTATTTCTGGGGTGCCTTGATAGTCGAAGCAGACTTTGTGCTGTTGAGACTAGAGAGGTGAGCAGAGTAAGCCTAATTCCCTGTAAGGACTTCTCTGTTGACATCCACCCCTTGGCGCTCATATGACCTGATGCAGTTGCGAGCGCCGTAAAACCTCTACTAGAACTAAAAAACATAACATGAATCGATCGAATGTCCTCTATCTTGTTGTAATATTCCTCCAGGGTGACTGGTGAATTCTCCCAGAGGTCACGGAATGACCCGGACTTCAAAAAAATCTTCACAGAAATGGAGTCAGTATTCAAACTCATTGAGTTAGCGGACGATGTAAGTAATTCTCTGATCGTTTAGTACAATAAAACCACACAAATCAAACCTTTATCGGCGTAAAAAGATAAGATAAGATAAGATATGATGAGATACATCTTTATTGTCCAGATCCTGGCACATTGGTTTGGTGTTTAACCACGTACACGCACGCA